CACCGCCAGTCCCTGGACCTCCCCAGGGATGACCTCGTCACATAGGCCAACTGGCTGGCAGCGTCTGATGTCTCCTTAGACATACTCAATGGACCCTGAGATGTCCCAGTTTAAAAAGTGTCCTTAAGTCCATTTAACCGGAAATGCCCCATTATTTGATCAGAGTTTTTTGGTTTTGGTTTCTTTTTATCCTTGAAACACCTCACAGCATGGGACACTTTGCTTTCTAGTAGGGATTCAGGTAGCTCTTTCCTATGGAATTTCACACTGAATGTAATTGTTCCTCTTTCTGTCTTTATGTCATGAGATTGCCCATCCTCTAAGAGGTGGGCTGTGGCTAGGCCAACAACCGCCAGAGCGGAAAGCCACCCGGTGTGATGCTGTGCGATTGCCTGGCCAGGGGACGGGAGTTGGCCTTGGACTTTCTGACCCTGGGGACAGGGTTTCTCTTGCAAATGCTAACCTGTAAGATCTATGGCAAACGGTAGCTACTACACGACGTCCTCCTGGGTTCTATGGGGCGATGGGACACCTCTGCCCTGGGAACCCCCTACCCTGGGACAGTTATTCATCCAGCATGGGAATTAGGGTGTCTTCTGGGCCCCATGTGTGAGGGTTCAATTTCCCATTGTTGGTGGACAAGAACTGAGCTGGAAGGCAGCTGCTGGAGGGAAATTGTCTCTAAACAACTAGAAGAAAAACTAGAAGTTCACCTTTGCCTGAAATTTGTTAATCTTCAGTTGCCCTTAATTTTATTGTTAAAATTTTTAGAATTTCATACCATTTTTATTTGTTTAATTTTAATTAAAAATTTTTTTTCATAATTTTGAAATAATTGCAGAATCACAGAAAGCTGCTAAAAATAGTACAGAGAGGTCCTCTCACACAGTTTCCCCCAGTGACAGGGTCTTGTATGAATACAGTATGTTGTCACTAAGGAGACGCTCCCTGCCTCATTCCTCACATCGGGACTCTGTATCTCCTTTTTATGTTTGTCTGTCTTGCCAGAGGTGTGCCTGTTCCGTAGAAGTGTTCAGAGAACTTGCTTTTCGTTTTCTTGGTCTTCTCTATTGCTTTTCTGTTTTCAATCTCATTGATTTCTGTCTTTAATATTTCATTTTTCCTGCTTGCTTTAAGTTTATTTTGTTTTTCATTTTCTAATTTCTTGAGGTAGGAGCTTAGATTATGGATTTAGAACTTTTTTTGTAACGTTAGCATTTAGTGCTATCCATTTGCCTCTGCTGTACCTTAGCTGTGTCCCATGAATTTTGATAGGTTGTATTTTATTTTCATTCAGTTCAATGCATTATTAAATTTCCTTTGAGTCTTCCGTTTTGTTGCATGGATTCTTTAGAAGTGTGTTTCATTTCCAAGTGTTGGGAGATTTTCCTTGTATCTTTGTATTATTGACTTTGTCTGATTTCTTTGTCAGAGAACACACCCCATGGTCTTAATTATTTAAACCTTTTGATATTTGTTTTATGACCCAGGATGTATGTAGTCTGTCTTGGTTCCATAAGTGCTTGAAAAAATGTATTTTGCCATTATTGTTTGTTGTGTTGTTGTTATGTTCTGTAGATATCTTTTAGGTCCTGTTGTGGATGGTGTTATTAGTTCTTCTGCATCCTGGATGGTGTTCTATCTAGGACTTCTGTTCTTAATTCTGTTGTGAGCTTCTGGTGATTTCTCCTTTTTATAGCTGCTCTTGGTATTCCATTTCACTTGATCTTACCATATACAAAATTTGCGCAGGGCTAGAGCAGTATATTAGAATCACCTGGGGGCTTTAAAAGATGCTGATACGAGGGCCACATTCCAGACCAATTACATCAGAACTCCTAGGGGTGGGTCTTGGGCATCTTTCCTTTTCCAGAGCTCCCACTGTGACTCCATCGTGCAGCTAGAATTGAGGATGGCTAAGTCGAGGCTCCGCAACGTGACCCACCTCAGGCCTCACAGGTGACCTGACCCGCCTGGGAAGACCACAAGGTCAAATCTAGTGTCTGGAGTAGCTCGTCAGTCAAGCTGAGATAGTGGGATGGTCTGTCCTGTGCTGTCTCAGGCAGTAGCACTAGCCACACGTGGCTGTTGAAATGTGGCCAGTGAGACTGAGGACCTGAATTTTTAATTTTATTTTGAGTAACTTAAATCGAAACAGCCACATGTGGCTAGTGGCTACTGTATTGGACAGGCAGCTCTAGATTCATGTAGTTTTTCTGACTCATTTTGCCAAATATATATATGTTTTCATCCAATATTTCCAATGAGAAATGATTCTAAGTGGAAATTTTCTCAGTTGAGGCGGTTTTTTTTCATATCATATAGTACGTTTATAGCAAAACATGTGAATTGCTGTTATTTCTCTCTGTTGAGAAGTGAGACCTTAGGAAATAGTTCAAAATGCCTTTTGATTACAAAATTGCACTGATGGAAAATATTTGAAAACGGTGTTGCTAAGGAGTAACACTTGTGTCAGAAGATAAACTTAAGTTTTCCTTCCAATACTTATGTGTTACCTGTGGCTTTTAAAGGTGAGTCCTAATAACCCCCCAGGGATACTGTTCATCTCTCCATTTAGTTACTTGTAGTTTCCAGGGACACAATTGTAGCAGTAGAAACGTTCAAACCCAGATGTGTCCGACCCAACGAAAGCTTGCAGTCAGCCTGTAACTGAAGTCAAGACACTAAGCTAAGAGGCACTCAGGTTGGCATCTCAGTGTTTGCAGCACGACTGGCATGTTTATAGGGTGATCAGCCCCTGCATTCTCCAAGGGGGCGGAACCCTCAGGTAGTGACGGACTAGCTAGGCCGGACAGAACTGCTTGGTGATAAATCCAAGGTGCAGGTACCAGGTAACAGGACCACAGCCTAGTCTTCACTCCGAAGCATCCGTTCCCAGTCATTTTTAAATAGTAATTTTTAGTGATGGGGTAAAACTAGAAAGAGAAGGAGAGCTATGAAAGCCTATCAAGAAAAAGGGCTGGGCCGACTGAGTGGCGCGATGGTTAAGAGCTGGCTTGGGACATCAGAGGGCCCCGGTTCGGATCCCATATATGAGGGCCAGTGACACTGCCCTCCACAGCTAAGATGCTGAACAACAGCTCAACCTGGAGCTGGGCTGCTGTGAGTCGCCAGCGATGGCGTAGGCTGCAGCTCCTGCTGCAGTGGGTTGCCATGGGCTACCGTGTGTAGCCAGCAGCCAGCGTGAGCGGCCAGCAGCCGCAGTGAGCAGCTGTCCAGAAGCCGGCAACCTGATCTGCCTCACCCGGGAAGAGCGCAATGATGGTGCCAACTTGGGCCAGTGAAGCAACGTCCTCCACAACTAGACTGAAGAACAAAAGGACAGCAACTTGTCTGTTCCCCTTCCCCAATTCCCCAGCGCTGTTCCCATCTCCCCAATTCCCCAATAAAAATCTTTAAAAAAAAAAAAGAAAAGAAAAAGGGCTACAAACTTTCAGTTATATAAGATAAATAAACTCTGGAGACCCCCTATACAGCAGCATGCCCATAGCTCACAATACTATGTTATATACTTAAAATTTGCTGAGAGAGTAGGTCTTATGCCTCATAAAATAATAATAATAATAATAATAATAATAATAATAATAATAATAATAAAAAAGGGGTGGGCAGAGATGCTGGGAGGCGATGGCTGTATGAGTATTTCATGGCCGTGACAATGATGGCTTCATGGGCACACGCTTATCCACAAACTCCCTGAGTTGTATACAGTAAATATGTACATCTTCTTACATGTCAGTCAAACACAGTGAAATGGTTTTAAAACAAAATAAAATTACAAAAGAGAAAAGGGGCTATATAATAAAATTATTCGCATGGTTCTTTCTAAAAATATTTCTGAAAAACTGAAATAATAAGAGATAGTATATCCTGTCAGCATGAGAAGTAGATGTAATTATTCCATCTTTTGTCACTCAATAGAAAACCATTAACGGTACATGTACACTTGGCAGAAAATGTTGAAAAGTCTTAATGGACAATTATGTCTTCTTGCTTTCCATGGCTCCTTTTAGCTCTAGGAACCGAGAGCGTTCGTTTTCACTCAGGCCTGTCCAAGTCCTGAGAAAACCCTAACCAATCCTAAGTCTATATAAACAGGCTCCTCACTAGTTGGTTATAGGAAACCAGTCTACAGCTGGAAGAGTCTGAGGTGTGAGTGACAGAAGCACCCAGACACTTCTGGGGATGAGGAGGGAAGCCCTGCGTCCTTGCGCCCGCCAAGTTCTAGCTTCTATTCTGGGCCCCTTAAGCTTTTTAAGTAACAGAACCTTCTGAAAACACAAAACCATAGACCCTGACCCCAGAAAAATATACATATATTCCCAATTTTGCTTACTCACTTAGGATCTTTAAAGATCTCCTGAGAGCATCCATGGCCTGAGCTTAGGCACCTTGTCCTAACCCCGGGCGGGTTCTCAGGAAGGGACTTCTGCCTTAGGTCCTGGGCTTTGGCTGCTGGTCTGGGGCTATGAAATCTACCTGGCCCTTGCCAGCTCCCACACCGCCCCCCACAGCTGTGGCTGCACCCTCCCAGCTCTTCAGGGCACAGAAGTCCAACTCTAGACTCCGAGCTGGTCACACAGCCCAGGGCTGCCTGTCCAGATGGCATGGAGGAGCTGGGCAAAACCATGGTTTTGTGATAGTGAACTAGATACCACAGTGAAATTATGTCTAAGAACAATCACATGGTATTTTCATCCCATCACTTAAAAACTAAAACATATTCCGTAGCCATGGCCCACATCTCACTGAAGCTCCTCACATGTACTTACAACTTCCTTTTGGGCATAAAAGCTGCCTCAGCGCTTCTGAACCAAGCACACTGCGTTGCCTCCTGCAGCTCTGCTCCTTCACAGCCGTGCTGCCTTGCAGTCCTGGGCGTTCTTACAGTTCCCTGACGTACAGAGCTCTTTCCTGCCCCAGGGCCTTTGCACTGCTGCCATCTGGAACCTGATGCCCTCTCCTTCTTCCCCTCACAGCTTGTCACTTGGACATCACAGAGAGTCCTCATCTGCTCACCTCATTTAAGGTAAGGCCCCTTATTACTCTTCTTCTTCTAGCTCCGCCTTGAGAGTGTGTTTTCTGATTTACATATGTTTTGATTTGTTTATCCGCGCTCTCCTTATCTAGACTGTGAACTGCAATAGGATAGGGGCTGCATTCGTGCAGGCTTTCACTGTCCCAAGCCCGGTTTCTGGAACCTATAGAAAAAGTGAATGAATGAAGCTGCAAGGTCAGAGGTCACTGACTAAATGTTCCAGGTCTGTGCAGGCCTCCGTGCTCTGGGCATTTCCGGTGTCACGGCAAACTCAGATCAGGGCGTTCTTACAATCCACCCAAATCGCTGGCAGTGAATCGTTCCCGACAGTAGAACTTCCTAGCTGACTGATGAGGATGAAGGGTCATTCATAGCTGCAGTTCTCTGCCAGGCCTGCTAGGTGCCTGGGCCTGGGTGGTGAGATCCCAGGGCCATCCAGAGCACCCAGGGAAGGCTGTGTCAGTGTTCACAGACTTGGTGATGGGAACAGATAAGCTTCATGGAGAAGAGCGAGTTTGGGGGAAGGCGGTGAGTGCTGACTTGGATGCGAAGGACGTGCACTTCCAAAGAGCTATCCCGACAGTGGTGCCCAGCACATAGCTGGGAACGGACTGGGGTGGAGAGAGGGGCCGAGTCAGCTGGACGCCAGGGCTGAGGCCGGCACTGAAACCGGCTAACTGTGTGTTGGCTGAGGAAATTCACACGGGAAGGAGATGTGGCTGAGAAGAGATGCTAGAAGACAGTTCATGAACTCGGGGTCTGCAGTAAGAAACAAAACAGCAGGGGAGATGGAGCCAACGTGGGTGGCTGATGGATGGGGAAAGTAGGGGAGAAATGGAGACTGATAATGCTGGGACACAAGGGGCGATCTCCGAATGGAGAGGAAAGCGACAGAAGGGGGCACATGAGAAGGCATGGAGTGGGCTGGAAAGCACTTTCCTGGGTGTCCTTGACCACTTTACAAAACTGGGACGAAAGAGGTAGTTTTGTTAAAATTAAGGGAGACAGAGGTGTCACTAGGGGCTTAAAGGAGGTGACACATGCTTGAAGCGGTCTCTTTAGATAATGCGAACATCAAGAAAAGATTAATAAAGCCGAGTAAGGTGCAGTCCCCCTGAGGGACAGATCATAGCACACGTTTTGAGGCTCAAAACAGCGCATCTTTGTGACTTCCTCCGGAAATTCTTGGACGAGGAAAGGGTGGTGGGTTGAAAAAGCAGCTGTTGTCAGGTCCTATCGAGTCCAGTGATTTAAAACCACTGACGATGGGGTCCAGCCTGGGGAGACCTGAACGTGATGCCAGAAAGGGGGCGAGAAGCCAGGAGCACAGGAAATGTTTTAAGGCCAGGACGCTATGCTGAGAGGGACACCTCTCTCCCTTGGAATGAGACACGCCAATTCAGGGGCCAGTGATGCGCCCTGTTTTCTGCTGGGCGAGCAGGTTGTAGCCGAGAGAAGCCCGTGTTCCTGGTGGAGGCGTCGCTGGGCTGCCCTGGTGTCCCTGCCTTACACCATGTCTACACCGCAGCAGTGGACATTACCATGTCTGTCAAGGTCAACGAACCACCCATACATAAAGGGGACTCCCAGTAACAGTGCTACGTGGTTACAGAAGGCACTTGGTTACAGTTACAGGTCTAACCTGTTAGACTCCTGGAGAATTCCCGAAGGCATATGTGTGCTCCTGTGCATACCATTAATGCAGGCGTGGCCAAGGCATTGTCACCCTCAAGTTGCTTCCTGCGGCGCTGGCTTTCCACCCTCACTCCCCCCGCTCCCCTGCGGCCTTGGCTTTCCTTCTCCTGCCCTCTTCTCTGGACTCCCTAAGTCTGGGCTTAGTCAGGCAGGGCTGTGGAATTAGCACTGCAGCCCCTGGCACTCAGAACCACAGCCAGATCAGCATGACCTAGAACGAGGACCAAAGCAGGGCCGAGACCCCTGGGCCAGGTGCGATTCCTGGGGCGCCTGCCTCTGTTCATACTCCCACAGCTGCCTGAGGGCACAGGGCTGGGCCAGGTGAGAAGCCCTGAGCTCCCCAGACAGACTGTTTTCCTGAGAAGGGAAGACACAGGCTTGACTGTGAGTGTGCATGCAGGTGTGTGTGTGTAAAACAGCTCAGAGCGTGCGGGTTACCTTTCACTGAAAAGTTTTTTTTGTTTTTGTTTTTAAGGTTTTATTGGGGAATTGGGGGAGGGGAACAGCGTTGGGGAATCGGGGAAGGGGAACAAACAAGTTGCTGTCCTTTTGTTCTTCAGTCTAGTTGTGGAGGATGTTGCTTCACTGGCCCATGTTGGTATTATCGTTGCGCTCTTCCCGGGTGAGGCAGATCGGTCACCGGCCATTGGACGGCCGTTCACGGCGGCTCATGGCAGCTCATGAAAGCGCACGCCCACTGCTGGCCAGCCCCACTGCAGCCTACACCATCGCCGGTGACTCATGGCAGCCCATCTCCAGGTCGAGCTGTTGTTCACCATCTTGGCTGTAGAGGGCAGTGTCACTGGCCCTCATGTGGGATCCGAATCGGGGTCCTGCTGCTCAGAGCTGGAGTCCCAAGCCAACTCTTAACCAACACGCCACTCTACCAGCCCTGAAATGTTTTCATATAACTATAGACCCCCGAGCAATGATAAGGCATAACAGAGGTTTCATCCACACTTCCCCAGCGGTGGTAATACCTGGCAAACCTGCACTGTGTTTGTGTGGCTAGGATGCCGCCACTGACACTTCCTTGTACTCATTTGTGTGTGTGTACATTTCGTTCTCTACAGGTGTAGGTAGGTGTGTGTATCTACCACCACAGCCAAATGCTGCAGTTTCATCATCGCTAGACCCCCCCGCCCCCATGTTGCCCTTTATAAACCCTCCCACTCCCCCACTCCTTTCCCACCCCCATCCTGGCACTAGCCCTGGCAACCACGGTTCTCCATTTCCAAGATTTGGTCATTTCAAAACTGTTATGTACATGACATCATATGATACATAACATGTGGGATAGGTGTTTTTTTCCTCAACGTAATTCTCTGCAGCTCCATTCAAGTCATTGTCGTATCCGTAATTTGTTCCTTTTAATTGCTGGGTAGTTCCCACTGTATGAATGAGCCACTTGGTTGCACCCTGCCCCCACCCAGACTACCGAAATTGTTATATTTTAAGTGAATCGTGTTCATTTTATAAAGTCTATTTCTCTCTCTTACTTAGATTGGTTGTTCAAGTTGGGCAATCAACTTCAGTGATTCTATCCTCTATCATCACCATTCTACTATTGAAGCTATCTAGTGAGGCTTTTAAAAAAATATATTGTATTTTTCAGTTTTCTAATTTCCTTTTTTTTTTTTTTGGGGTAATTTGTACTTCTTTGCTGAGACTTTGGTATTGTTTTTATTTGCTCGAAAAGACTCTGTTTTGATCATTGAAACATTTTTATGACAGCTGTTTTAAAAACCCTTATTGGATAATAATTCCAACTTCTTCTTCACCCCTGTGTTGCTGTCAGTTGGTTGTCTTTTCTCATCCTACTGTGATTTTCTCGGTTCTGGGCATGGAAGGTGACTCTATTGTATCCTGGACATTCTGTCTATTGTGTTAGGAGACCCTGGGTCCTATGTAAACCTTCCGTTTGAGCAGGTGGCCAGTCTGTCGGTTTAGTACCTGGTCCTGGCTTCTCTTCTGGACTGTGGTGCACAGTCACTTGTATTTCAGAGCCTTTGGTCTCCTTGCTTTATCTGCTGATGCGGGACTCCCACCCCCTTTCATGCTGCCTCAGGGAGTGGGGCAGGCTTCCCCAGGCTGAGCTCCTGTCTTGGAGGAGGGGAGTCTTCGGCCATAGGGACCACGGAGCTTCCTGGGCTGTGTCGCTTGCCATGGTGGCATCCCTCTGCTGGTTCTGCCCCCCAGGTATGTCAGGGCGCTCTCAACTTAGTGGGGTGTCTTGCTGGTATTTTTCCTGGACTGTCACTGATGGAGGGAGAGCCGAGGCCAACTGGAGCTGTGCCCTGTGCCCCATCCAGCACGTCACAGTGTGTGAGAGGCTGGCTGAGCGATTGTTCAACACGCAGGCCCCTGTGAAAGTCAGCTCACCCGTGGGACTTGCGGGCTAGTGCACTGCGAGCAGGGAGGGTGAGTGTCACCGACAGGCGGAAGCTTTGAGAACAGGAGAATCTATGCTTTGCTCCCCTCCCTCTGTCACCGTCACTGCCCTCCCTCTGTCACCGTCACTGACGATGCTTCAGACTGTGGCTGTTCCATCAGCCCACGTCCCAGTGCGGGGGTGATGACAGCTCAGCGCAGAGCCCCCGCAGATCTGCGAGGACACGTGGTGCGAGTGATGTAAATGAGCGGGGACCTTTGTGTGAATTGTTTGTCACCATGGCACCACCTAGCCTGCTCTGCAGTGAATGTTGCTTAAAGGAAAAATTGAGCCAAGAGGTAAATCTTGGTAGCCCTGGAGGGTACTAGAAATGCATAAAACCATGTCTCTTAAACATTCCATAAACCGAACAGTTTATTAATCCAGCCGATGCTCCTTGGGTAAACATAGCAAATGCAGTTTCCCTCCAGGGAACGTGAGTCTGTGTTGGGTTTGGCAGCATCTGCGCATGGAGTACCCAAGCGGTCTGTGCTGATGTTTGCATGCAGCGTGCTTTCCAGGAGGAGGGGGAGGTGGGCGGCTGCTTGCAGAGAAGGCATTATTTCTGGCTCTACCTGCTGTGGAGTGAATGCAGATGAGTGGGTCATAAGGGCCCCGTGTCAGTTAAGAGCTCGGTGCTGACACAGGAACCTGTGCGACCTCCCTTCGCTCCCACCACATGAGGACACAGCGAGAGGCTGGCACGTGCAGCCTGAAGAGGGCTCTCGCCGGAACCCTGGCATGCCAGCGCCCTGACCCAGGACTGTGAGGAATAAATTGTTGTTTACCTGCCTCCCAGTCTCTGGTATTTTGTTCTATCAGCCCGAATGAATTAAGACACCACCCCCAGGATGGACTCCACACA